GGCCTGGGCTGGATTCGAACCCACCACCTTAGGTGTATGTGGCTGGTGCCTTAGCCACTTGAGCCACAGGTGCCAAGCCTGGTTTTTTTTTTTGGTTCTTTTTTTTGACTGTTGCTGATCTTTGCATATCGAATAGCCAACATGAATTATGTCTGTATTCTTTTTTCTCAGTGAGTGTTTGCTCTTCTGTTGGGCATATACTGTGGGAGGGTTGAGTATCTCAGTTCACTCAGCATTGAGCTGCGGTGGCCAGGATGCAGATTAGGACATAGCCTGCCTTTCATCTCCAGTAGCTAGGGCAGGGGTGGGGGGAGGTACTGTAGTCGTGTGTTTGTTACAGGCCTTTTTCTCTATGACAGGTGCTCTCCTGAGCACCATAGCCTGCAGGTGATATCATCCTCCAGCCTTTGCAGCCTCCCGTGCTTCCCTGGCTCTCAGCAACAATCCTTTAAGCCTGTGCACCTGTTGGGAGCTTCACTGGTTCTCTCATCTCTATGTGACTCCTGTTTATTTCAAACCAAAGCAGATTCCTCCATGGCATAAAGTAGCTAGCTAGCTCAGCTCATGCTGGAAGAGATCTTTCCTGACTATACTTCTAGTTCAATGCTTTCTCTTTATTTTCCTTGCACTTTGATGTCCTCAGCAGTTAAATGTGTGTTTGTGAGAGAGAGAGAGAGTTATCCATTTCGTTTATCTAAAGTTTCAATAAGAGTGTTGACTTAACTACCTACAAACTGAAAACAAAATTCACTGGCTAACCTGAGTTTTAATAATTGATTTAAAAATAAACATTAAAGAGAAACCAATTCACTTTAGTGATGACTTGTCATTACTACCTAATTCTTCTGTTTTGTAATTTTTTTAATTTAAAAAAAAATCTATTTTACTGTCTAGGATGTGACACTACATTTTCTATTAGGTCAACACATATTTATTGCATTAATTTGAAATCTTTGGAAAATCTGAGTTCCTAAAATCACAACTTTGGTGGTCACCTTTTACCTAGGAAAAGAAGTGCAACTCAACTGCTCTGCTTTGCTGAATAAAAATGATGCACTTTACTGGATCTTCAAAAATGATGATGAACCAGATCCTAATATACATGAATGGACAGAAATGAGGACTAGGTATGTATACGTGACATAGGATATGATCGTGCATACATGATGGAAGAACTATACCAGAACCTCTGAGTGTCTGAAGTGGTGTTTTGGGTTAGTTTAAATTATAATTATGATTTAATATTTTATAATTATAGTTGTCATGCCTTAGGTTGATGGATTATGCAGAAATTATCAAGATCTAAGCTAAAGAAAGAATGTCCCTGAGGGTTTTTGGCCTTGCCTTATCAAACAGCTGTCAGGCATGGTAGTGTACATGCTGGTGGTCCCAGCTACTCAGGAGGGTCACTGCAGCCCAGGAGTTTGAGTCCAGCCTGGTCAATGTAGAGAGACACAGTCTTTTTAAAAATTAGTATAAATAAATGAACAGATAAAAGTGGCTTTTGGTCAGGATCTGATGGGGATAGAGATCAAATTTTGAAAAGTGTCAGCGCATTATCTTTATTAATGTGTTCAAAAAGTTCCAAATGACACACACACAGATCCTTTAATTGCCGATATTCTTTCAAGAACAAATGGCCAGATTTATTAAAACAAAATATTCCTCATATACGGACATTTAAAATTTATTCTGATTGGCTTTGAGTCATCCTGTGATTATTAATTCATATACTGATAACACTACTCGGGGTCTAGTGCATGATCCTCAAGTAGCTGTCATCTTACCTGCCCTTGTTATATATTTTCTGCTTTTTAAACTTTTTTCTGGTATATTCTTTTTCACCATGACAGCAACTTTCAATCCTTGCTGACACTTGTCTATAAGCTCTTTACACCACAAGGTCTGGCTCCTTGGCTAAAAACAGGCAGGTGATTAGAGCCTAGTCAAGGCTGAGTTTAGCTGACTGGCCTGGCTCTCCGGCCAGCGTTTCCTGTCCTGAGGTTGGCATTTCTCCCTTCTGATGGTCTCCTTCTAATTTTTAGAGGAATGCGTGAAGACCAATCCACCACACTTCTCATAAGTGGAGCCTGAGCTGTGAGAGCAGGGATGTCTGTCTTGGTAGTTGGGAGCTTACCCCATGTGTTGTATGTGATCTGTTTTGGCTTCTCAGGGGCCTTTTGTATCTGCTGGTTTTCACTGGTTTTAAATGGCTGGTATTTCTGAATGGGGAAGCTTCCTTATGGAATCATTGTAAAAGGTACTTAGTTGGAGGTAAACTGTAGTACATTGTAGAATAAACTACAGTTGGGTCCATGGCCCAGGCACTGGAGGTACTTGTTGCTAGGCCTGCAGACAGGTAGAGGATGTCCTGAGTGTTTGTCTCACACAACCACAGACAGCTTAAATCCTCTGAGGAAGAGGAAGAGAGATTGCGGGCAGTGGTTATGGCAAGGTATTGACTGGTACTTCTCGTGTGCTTGGGCGTGTCTGAGAATAGTGTTTTGTTTTTTTTAAGATTCACTAAAATGAAAATAATCTCTTGCGTTGAATGGACAAACTTGATATGACACTGTATCTAGGCTAAACAACTTACAGCTTTGTCACAATTGGTGGACACCTTTCTGTGGAAAGAACTCCAAGCAGTTAGGAGGGGAGAAAGTAATTGAACCAGAGGATAATTTTGTGTGCTTTCAAGTTTGTATCATTATCTCCCAGGCATTTTAATGGTAGGTAGTTGAGTGTCCCCAGATAGTCTCAGGCGGGCTATTTCTATCAGCTGTAGTGCTCCCCAAAGAGTGGGAGGATTATTGTGGTCCACCTTTAAAAGAACCCACCAAATACAGCTTCTGGCCATATTATTAAGTAAAGAAAGTCTCTACCAGAAAGAGAAGATACAACGTAATCAACAGAATAGCTGCCTTTGGTTACTTTAAACTAAGAATTCCCTTCTCTTAGGTCAATTTGCTCATGAACAAAGCCTGTTGCTAAATTATTTGACTTTCTTATAGGACTTCGGAAGGCAAATTTCATTCTTCAAGAATACTGCACATTAAGAATATTAGCAAAAATAATCTCAATTTTCCATATAATTGCACAGTGACCAGCAGTGGAGGCAAAGATACCAACAGCGTCATCTTGGTGTTAAAAGGTATGAAAGTTTTATTTTTGGAAGTTTGTGGAAACTTAGCATCTTGCTGCTGAGAGGCCCATCAAGATCATACCTTCTTCCTGTTCCACACCAGAACTCATTTCCTGTGGGGTGACATGATTCATCTGTGTCAGAGGCTTTCAGTGGCAGAACTGGCACTCAGGCCTTGCTGGGGATCTCTGTGTCGTGATTCAAAGCAAAGAATGAAAACACAAAGCTTGTTCTTACAATGCTGAAGAAATCAGTGGGCCAGAGCAGGCAGGCAGGTGAAGCTCAGGGACACAGATGCAGGGGAGTGAGGCTGAGGGTTGCAGTCAGGGCAGCACCCACACACCTCACACCCAGAGCTTCTGGAGGGAAGTTTGCAGATCAGTGTCGGGTGAGCTCACACTGTGGGTTCTTAAAGATTTTCTGTGCCCACCTGATAGAGTGCCCGATCACCCACCTCCATCCTCTACCAAAATTGCCCAGCCAGAGCTGGTGGCTCAGTAGCTGCTCAGAAATGGCTTAGACACAGAGAGGCAGAAATGAGAGAGAGGCAGACACACACACAGTGATAGAGAGGAACGGAGACGCAGAGATGGGGCAGGGGGAGAGATACAAAGACAGAGAGAGGCACACAGACACAGACACTCAGACAGCGCCTCATATACACAGACGCAGATGAGCACCTTGAGCTTGGTGAAAAAAACAGGAGAGCTTAAGGGCCAGAGACAACCCTCTCCAGTTCTGCTGGTGCCCGCTGGCAGTTTGCGTAGCAGGTGGGTCATTACAAAAATTTTGAGACACATGCAAATCAAGAAATGTAAAATCCACACAGATGGAAACACATGTAGCCCTCCCGGCGACCCTGATAAGCCCAGCAGGTTGAAACTTGCATGGGTGAATCAGAAAGAACGCTGTCAGCTGTTTCTTGGAAGTGAAATAATGGACCATAACACAGTCTGTCTCAAAACTTTTGTGGTGACCCATGTACATGTATTTAGTGCACTTAATCATAAAAGGGCACATTTATACATAAAATATGCTACAAATCTGAGGGCTCTGCCAGGCACTGTGCTAACTACTTTGTGTGTGAAATCTCATTGACTTTTTGTCAAAGCAGCAACCCTGTATGTGAAGCAGGAACTATTATTATCTTCATTCTTTAGATCAGTGCTTCTCAACCTTCCTATTGCCGCAACCCTTTAATACAGTTCCTGTGGGTTGTGACCTACAGGTTGAGAACCGCTGTTATAGGTGATGATACAGAGGACTCGGGCCATCCATGTTTTTTCCCATGGCATAAAATAATTGATGGAGCCAGGCCCCAAGCCCAGACAGTCTCAGCTCAGTGTGTGCACTCTCTCTCTCTCTCAAAGCTGTGAACCTCTGTGTTCTCAACCCACTGGCTGAGACTTAAGTTTGGGTCCCTCTGTATTTCAGCCTCGTATCTTATTGCCCGCGAAATCTGATTTCTGTAGGTACAGACAGAATGCATTATTGGACAGTGCTTTCAGTTCAGGTCTCTGGATAGGCTTGTATACATTTTTATTCTTTAAAAATGTGAGTAGAAAGATCACCACTCTCCAGACTAAAGGCAGGAATGTGCAGTAACTCAGTGGAATGTGCCAGCACTTGAGTGGGCAACGGGATTGGGGTTAAAGGTCAAAACTGACAACCACAGTGTGATGATGGAAGACACTGCTACCATTTCTCTCATTGTTTTCCTCTCATTTTTCTCTTTCTTTTCCAGCAGACATGGCTGATATCCCTGGTCATGTCTTCACGAAGGTTATGATCGTAGCCTTTTCGATCCTGGTGGTGGTAGTGGGCCTCGTGATTGTCGGTGTCATGTATAGAGTTGACTTGGTTTTGTTTTATAGACATTTCATGGGAAGAGATGAAACATTAACAGGTAACAACTACCGCAATGCTTCGATTTCTTTTCTTATGCTTTCATTAAGAAACCAAATAAATTATCATTAATCTTCCTCTCATTTTGATCATATTGTTGGCTTAATCTGGGGGAGAGGTTTTTCATGGGAACAAACTGTCCTGCAGGTGCCATCTGTGATGAATGTTGTTTGTGCCACCTTTTCTTGTGCTTACGTATATGGTGTCCAAAATTGTTTTCTAATTGCTTCGTGTATGTATTTTATATCCTCCTCGATGCCTTGTGAGATGCTTGAACCCGGGAACTGTGCATCTGGATGCCCTCATACACGCCCCACCTAGGCACCTTACGTAGTTCATCCAGTCAATAAAGTTGATTAATTGAATCGAATTGTATTACGGCTCATCATCTTAACTAGGCAAGGAGACTGCATAATGTGCCCGTAAGAACCCCAAGAATGAAGCCAAATGATCTGGGTTCTACTCTCCTGGATGTGCCGTTTTTATCTACTACCTGGTGACACTATGCCTCAGTTTTCCTATCCTTAAAGGTAATAGAAGACCTCAAGTTTCAAAGTAATTACTGAATTTAAAAAGAAAATTAATCCAATCCATTGCACTTGCTTTGGGTGTGTGTGTATGTGTAAGTGTGTTTATGTGTATGTTTGTAAGAAAAAAAAAACCTTCAAAATCCTAAATGTCTGAGTAACTATACAGTGGGCAGACCCCCCTCTCAGCTTGGTTTCACATCTGGGGTTCCCATTCTCCACCTCACTGATAACATGTCTGACCAGATATAAATGTAGATACTTATTCTACTCCTTTCCTTAAAAACAATTGTGGCCCAATATGCACACTACTTTCATCTTTGCTTGTCTATAGTGTGGGCACATTTCCATGTTACTTTATGAAGAAGTCCCTCATTTTTTAGTGTTGAGGGTTTTGTGTGGAACTACTACTCTTTGTTTAGTCTCCCTCTGATGGACTTGTGAGTGCTTTTCAATCTTTTGTTATTGCAAAAAGCTGCGACGGAGAGAGCTTTGTACATGCATTATTTCATGTGTGTGCAGTATATCTGAAGGAAAAATTCACCGAAGTGGAATTTCTGGAAATAGAAAGGGCAGATGCACTTGTCATTTTGATAGATGTTGCCAATTTCCTCCCGTACTGCTAAATTATCCACCACCTTCAAAGAGTGAGAGTAAATTTTTCCCACTCCCCTACTCACAATCTTTTGGGCTTTTGCCAATTTGATAGATAAGAAGTTGTATCTCAGAGTGGTTTTTTTTGTTTGTTTGTTTTGTTTTTTTTGCAGTTTTTGGCCGGGCCTGGGTTTGAACCCACCACCTCCAGCATATGGGGCCCTCGCCCTACTCCTTTGAGCCACAGGCACTGCCCCTCTCAGAGTGGTTTTAATTTGCATTTCACTTACTATGTAGGAGCCTGAACACCTTGACTGATATTCATGTCCTTCCTCAAAGTACCCACTCATATCCTTTGTCCATTTTCCCATTGGGCTTTGGGCCTTTTTTTTCTTAGTGAATTTTGGATTATTTATTTCTAGGAGTTATTTACATTTCAGGGAGCTTAGCCTATCATATGAAATGCACATATTCCTAGGTTGTAATTTGACCAAAGTTTTTTGACTTTGGTTATAGTAGTATGCCATGCAGAAAAGACTTTTTAAAATGTACCCAAATGTCTTTTCTTTTGTGATTTCTGGAGTCATAAGCACTAAAGCCTTCCTAACCCCAGTTTGTGCAGAAATTCCTGTATTAGTTCCTTGAGATTTTTATATATATATATATTTTTTACATTTGCAACTTTTAACTTAATAATATAAAATTAGCAAGGTTAATAAATTTTAGATTTGAGGCTACTGTGTGTGTGATTTTGCCCTGGAGAGAGATGCTACAACAACTGGGAAATCTGTATTTGATATTTTCTGAATAGTGTCTGCTTGCATAGACCAATATTTATGTTCAAATGAACATTGACCAATTTCTTTTTTATTTTCAACTCAGATTTCTTTTTTTTTCCCCTAGGGTTGTATTTGACTTGATTCACACTGGTGTTTCTTAATTCACACTCTTAACTCTCAAAGTGGTACTACACAGAGACACTTAGAGATGTGCTCTAAATCATGGCTAGTCAAAGTGTGGATCACCAACAGATACCGCCTATGAACAGGGCAGAAATGGGGAGAGAAGTACAAAAATACAAACACTTTTTAGCCATTTAATATTCCTGCAGTATCCAAGAGTCTGTTGAGCGTTAGTTCACAAAGAATTGGAAATGAAACTAATCAATAAAAAAAGCAAATTTAAATGAATGTATGGTCATTGACCACACAATTTGAGAAGCGCTGACCTACCTGGCTCCTTTTGGTCCCAAATATCCATTTACATGATGATTTCCTTTATATAAAACCAAAAAAGAAAAAAGAAAAAGAAAACCAACCAGCTGAAAAACCAATTACCATTAGATTTTAAAGTCCTCACCTTAAGCATTTTATTTTACTCTATCAAGTCTCAAGGCCACTAAGCCTTTTGTTCCCTGGATTTACACTAAAATAGTGACACAAATTAGCAGATTCATATTTTAAAAAAAGAGAGAATTGAATAGAATAAGAAATTTGAAAGAAATTAATAGTTGAAAACTAGTTTTTCATGGGTCAGAGTGAAGCTTTTTACGTGTAATATAAATGCATATTCGATGGAATTGTCTTCCTGGTTTATTGCAGTCTGTTACATCCTGATTATAAGAAAAATATGGCTTTTCAAAAATTATGCTGGCTTAGTTGCCTTACATCTTGGTGCCTATTGTCATCACTAAATGCCAGTGGAAGCACAGCTATTCATTAATTAGAAAATAGCTGTACTTCATAATAATTTAAAAGAATTTAGGAGGTCTATTTTCTGATTAAACTACTAACTGGCTTTATTTTTACCAGCTTTTTCTACTTTTGATATTTATGTAATTCTCCAAAAGTTATTATTTTTCATATGCATGCATTTCTGCAAAGCAATTGCTTTAAATCAACAGTATGTTCTGACTAGTCCTGCCAACTAGATGCTATAGGTAGAACTGAAGCAGCTTTGGCCAGCAACAGAAAATGTTATTCAGTGGACCTGACCACTGTTGAGAATGCTAAGCTGGACCATAGAGCACAAATGACATGGCGCCATACGGGACATGGACTTAGAATAGTTTTACCCTGTTACATTTTAATTAAGAATCCAATAATATTATCCTTCAACTTAATAGCCAGTTCATTGATCCTGATAAATACTCCAAGCATAAACATAACTCTTCAGCCATCTAACCAATCATCATGGCATAAAGCAGACCCTACCCCTACCACTTCCTTTCTCCCTCTACCAACTCCAATCAGCATCAATTGTATTTTTTTAGGACTGGACTCAAAATTTCCTCTTTCTGGAAAGCAAGTCCATTGGGATTCTTCCTTCTCTGTCCCAGTGATTTTGTTTGTGTCTTGCTATTTTTCCTCTGTGAATGTGTTGTTTGTAACTTTTCTAAAGTTGTTGCATCTGTCTGCTCTGCCTGTTTCAACTAGATTGGATGAAGCTAGAAGAGAGAATTGTATAATTTTCTAGTTATCCAGTTAGGAGAACGGTCTTTGTTGTTTAGGTAACATGTTTCCTTCAGAATTTGTTCTGTTAGCCATCTAAATACTGCTTCATTGATCAGAGAATTAAATAGAAGCAGATGTTACAAAAACCTACAGAGTCTGCTGCCCAGGCTAGAGTGCTGTGGCCTCACAGCAACCTCAAACTCCTGGCTTCAGGCAATCCACCTTTCTCAATAGCCAGGACAAGAGGTGCCTATCACAGTGCCTGGCTAATTTTTTGTATTTTTAATAGAGACAGGGTCTCACTCTTGCTCAGGCTGGTCTTGAACTCCTGAGCTCAAGGGATCCTCCTGCCTTGGTCTCCCAGAGTCCTAGAGTTACAGGTATGAGCCACTGCGCCTGGCTAGGCAAAACCTGTCAGTGGATCAGAAGTTTTCCTTTTGACAGCAAATATTATTTAATATTTTATGATATCATAGTGTTGTCCCTGTAGCAGATTATTTTAAATCACCCCTATTATTTCTTCCCACTCTCCAGTGAAAACACTCAGCTTTGTTTCCATCTTGACTTTCTCAGCGTGTCATTTTGAGGGTACAAATGAGGATGGCAGGAGGATTAGGGATATGAGAGTGAAGTGAGAGCTGCTTTCTGCTCCTGGATTGAGGGCATAGGTGGACTCTCTGGCACATCTTTAAACTTTCTTTTTCTTTTCTTTTCTTTTTTTTTTTTTTAGAGACAGAGTCTCACTTTATTGCCCCCAGTAGAGTGCCACTGTGTCAGCTCCCAGCAACCTCCAACTCCCAGGCTTAGGTGGATTCTCTTTTCTCAGCCTCCCGAATAACTGGGACTATAGGTGCCCGCCACAATGCCCGGCTATTTTGTTGTTGTTGTTGTTGCAGTTTGGCCTGTTTGCAGTTGGGTTTGAATCCTCCACCCTTGGTATATGGGGCCAGCACCCTACCAGCTGATCCACAGGCGCCATCCCACACTTTTAAATTTTTTTAGCACCGTGATCTATAGTTTGTATTTCTCTCTTTCCTTCTATGATGTCAAACAGTAGGAGGTGCATAAAAATATTTTGGCTAATTGGTTGCTTGGCTGGCATATGAGGTTTAAATACAAACAACGCTATATTTAATTTTTCTTTTTCAATGACTACACTCATTATGTATGATGTTCACTCGAGTTGGTACTTAAATAAACTTTTGTTTACAAACTAATTAAAAGAGCCAACTTTATCTCCTAGATGGAAAGACGTATGATGCATTTGTGTCTTACCTAAAAGAATGTCGCCCCGAAAATGGAGAGGAGTACACCTTTGCTGTGGAGATTTTGCCCAGGGTGTTGGAAAAACATTTTGGGTATAAGTTATGCATATTTGAAAGGGACGTGATGCCTGGAGGAGGTAAGAAAAGAATACCAGGCAGAAAAATATTCAAGATGTTTTCTTTTTCTTTTTTTATTCTTTCAGGTTAATTGAGGGTACAAAGAATTAGGTTACACTATTTTCCTTTGTCAGGTTAAGTCCCTCTTATAACTGTGTCCTGCCCATAAGAGGTGTGCCATACACCCTAACATTGGGCCCGTTAAGTGGGACACCCCCAATCCCTCCCTTCGCCCCTCTTGCCTCCCTCGTTCTCCTGCCTCCCACTTTTTACTGATTTGAGTTTTTCTCTTATGTGGGTGTGTATGATGTTTTCTTTTTTTAAAAAAATGAATCAGCTAGCACTATCCAGTGATTCCCATTTTCCTTACCCACAAATGAATAAAGTCCTTCAGAATAGAAATAACCAGGTGAGTTGGCATAATCACTAGGAGAGAGCAATCTACGGTGCGATAGTCTCTTCTCTTGGTTTTTTATTCTTCCTACTTCAGGATTCGCTGGGTATCTGGGGAAAGGGAGTGGGCATTTCATTTTCAGATCCAGGTTCACAGCGGGCACTATCATGAGGACATTTATCTAGAAATGACCCATAGTGAGAATATTTGCAATTCAGAAAGAGTTCCTAATTTAATCCCATCATGTTTGGACTATCAGCACAGGCTAACTCTTACCAAGAAACGTTCATTCTTTACTGTGTTGATATTGCTGAGAAAATGAGAGTAGAAAATAGGAGAGCAAGGAAAGGATAAATGAGGTAATTGGTGATTCCCGTCAGATCACAGCTATGAAAGTCAATATTTTTCATCAACATACGAATACGAATGGCTGTGGCACGTATATTGTGGCAAATTATAGTTAAAAGAAAATAATAACATGCCCATGTTTTCTCTGTTTTCTTTCTGAAGTCTTTCAGAGCATTTGAAATCTGGCGTCAAATTATAGTGGATACTGATGTTAATAAAAAACACAGATGTTTTCATTGTTAACCATCATTCACTCATGTAGCCAATATTCATTGCATGCCATCTTTTTTTTCTTTTCAATTTTTTATTGTTAGGGACTCATTGAGGGTACAAAGAACCAGGTTACATTGATTGCATTTGTTAGATAAAGTCCCTCTTATAATTGTGTCCCACCCCCAAAAGGCATGTCAGATACTGTGACCCCCCAACCCCCTCCCATCTTCCCTCTCTCTGCTCTTCCCTTTCTCACCCCCCAACATGTACTAGGTCATTGATTGTCCTCATATCAGAATTGAGCATGTGGGATTCTTGCTTCTCCATTCTCGTGATGCTTTACTAAGAATAATGTGTTCCACTTCCATCCAGGTTAATACAAAAGATGTAAAGTCTCCATCTTTTTAATGGTTGAATAGTATTCCACGGTATACATAAACCACAGCTTGTTCATCCTTTCCTGGGATGATATGATAAATAGTCTAGTGCAAGTGTCCTTATAATAAAAGGATTTTTTTTTTCTTCTGGGTAAATGCCCAGTAATGAGATTGCAGGATCAAATGGGAGGTCTAGCTTGAGTTCATTGAGAGTTCTCCATACTTCCTTCCAAACTGCATGCCATACTTGAATCAAGTTCTGAGAGAAACATTAACGATAGCGCAAATGAGAAAGGGAAAATATTACTAGCTAGAAAGACAAAATAAACTACTGTTTAATAATTTAAAAAATCTCAAAAAAATAATTTGGCCAATTGTCAGATGCATATACCATTATGGTGTTTTTGTGTGGCAATTCTTTGTATCTAAGAAGGCACATTGACATTCAGGAAGCAGGTATACTTGCCTTTGCATCAATTTTACTGTACCTCCATTATTTGATAGAAGTGTTCTGAAAATAGATTTCCTCTTATTTCTTAAATAAAAATAAAGATTGTTTGTATGTTCAATTGCAATTAGGTTTGGTTCTCCATTTGAGAAGGCTCAGCAGTCTAGATCACGGCCTGGCACATTGCCTCCCACGGGTCAGAATCTCACTTGCCACACTTATTGAAATGCAACCACAAACATGTTTATAAGCTGTCTAAGGCTGCATTTGAACTACAGCAAATAGAATTGAGTATTTTTGACAAAGTAGGCCTGCAAAGCCTAAAATATTTGCTATTTGGTTCTTTTTTTTTTTTTTTTGCAGTTTTTGGCCGGGGCCAGTTTTGAACCCGCCACCTCCGGTATATGGGGCTGCACCCTACTCCTTTGAGCCACAGGCACCGCCCTTCTATTTGGTTCTTCCCAGAAAAAGTTTGCCAACCCCGGGCCTAAAATAATGGCTAGGTTGGTTTGGGGGCTTTTGTTTGTCTTCTAGTCCTTCAATTCTGATGTTAGCGTGTTCCTTTATGCACACAGAGAAGCAAAACGGCACGAAACAACAAAATGGTTGGGGAAGTGTACTCCACCTGGGTTCAGGTTCTGGTGCTGTGTGACTCTGGGCACATGATTTAACTACTCTGTGCTTTGGCTTCCTTGTCTGTAAAATGGGGGTAATAACAATACCTGGTTCATAGGGTCATTGTAATGATCAAATGAGTGAATATACATTAAAAAATTTAAAAGAAGTTATGGCACAGAGTAAGTGCAAGTGGTCATTATTGTCACCTATATGACTGTAATAGGCATATGAAATTGAAAATGAATGGCTTATCTTAAAGAAGAACTTATTAGTAAGGCTAAGACGTTAATAATATAAGATAGAACTGTAGAAAATGATTTTTATTTCATCACTACCTTTTAGTGTCTTAATGTGGCACATCTTATATTTTCAGCTGTTGTTGATGAAATCCATTCACTGATAGAGAAGAGCCGAAGGTTAATCATTGTCCTAAGTAAAAGTTATATGTCCAATGAAGTCAGGTATGAACTTGAAAGTGGATTCCATGAAGCCTTGGTGGAAAGGAAAATTAAAATAATCTTAATTGAATTTACCCCTTTTAAAGACTTTACATTTTTACCCCAATCACTAAAGCTTTTGAAATCTCACAGAGTTCTGAAGTGGAAAGCTGATGAATCTCTTTCTTACAACTCAAGGTTCTGGAAAAATCTTCTTTACTTAATGCCTGCAAAAATAGTCAAGCCAGGTAGAGATGAATCTGAAATCTTGCCTATTCTTTCAAAACCTTGATCTTCAGAAAAAGTGACGCCAATAGAATCAGATAGTCTGGGATTGAGTGTAAGAGCCTGCCCACAACAAAGACCATTATTCAAAATACTTAACTCTATCAAAATTCTACTCAGAGTTTGAAGATGAAACGTGTCATTGGGTTGTCCGGAAGAAGATTAAATGTTGAGCTGTGGTCACCTGCTCCTGGAAGGTCCTGGAATTCAGTAGAAATGGATCTCCTCCTTTTCTCTTTTCCATTCCTGGATGCAGCATACTTAATCCCATCCTCAGCACACGTGAGACTGGACACGATGCAAAGTAACCGATGCCCTACCAAAAAAAGGCACAACGTGAAGAGTTTTTCATGCTGGTGATTAATTTGAGCTAAAGGATTTTAAGTGCATGAAGAGGTGTCTTCTTTGAACCAGTGGGTGACAGAGTAACTGGAATGCTGCTTTCACTTCCCTACACCCCTGTGATCTGGTGAGACGTGGGAGGAGAGAGCTGGCGGGGCTGTCTGCGGAGGCCACGAGTGCCTGGAGGGGGGTCTGCTGTCAGCCAGACCTCAGCCTCACCCACAGCTGCAGGCCAGCAGTTCTTGGAACCTCAGTGAGGCACTGCAGCACGGAGCCTCCTTATTTGGACCCATTTAAGGGAACTTCTTAAAGGGACCCCCAAGTGCCTCATCTTTAGTAAGAGAAACAAATTTCAATTCAGTCAATTCTCTGGGTCTTTCACTTTTAATGGTCCAAAACATTAGTTGACTTTACAGAATGGGTGTCACATCATGCTATGCTAGCTATTAAATTGCAAAAGCACAAAAATGACAGTTACTTCCTTGATTTTTAAAAATCTCATGTTTAGACCAGCTGGGCGTGGTAGCTTACTCCTGTAATCCTAGCACTCTGGGAGGCCAAGGCAGGAGAATTACTGAGGTCGGAAGTTTCAGACCAGCCAGAGCAAAAGTGAGAGCCCATGTCTACAAAAAATAGTAAAAAAAGTTAGTTGGGTGTGGCAGTGCACACCTGTAGTCCCAGCTACTCTAGAAGGAGGCTGAGGCAGGAGGATTGCTTCAACCTAAGAGTTTGAGATTGCAGTGAGCTATGATGATGCCATTGTACTGTAGCCTCAGTGATAGAGCAAGACTGTCTTAAAAAATGAAAGCACATGTTTAAAAAACCCCTATGTGGAGGCAACATTATGGTGGTTAAGAGCATGGGCTACACAGCCTATCCTGAGCTCCAATCCAGACTGTGCTATTTAATTCTGTGACCTCTGGAACTTTACCTAACCTCTATACCTCAGTTTCCTCATCTGTAAAATGATACTTTGTAATAATTGCACCTACCTCACAGGGGTACTAAATGAATAAATATAAGTAGAGTACTTACCATAGTTCTTGGTATTCTGTAAGTGTTGCCATTACTATTGTTATTATTACCATTATTAGTTGTTACTTAGATCAGTTATTCAGCAGTGGACCAAATGGAAGCTAAGAGCAGTAAAGGTAGCAGATCTAGAGATGAAAGTGGTCTTGACTTGAGGACATTTGCATATGTAGAGGAGCACATAGGAGAAGTGTAGGGAGAGGCAGAAGCTATTTCTCCATTAGACATCTGCTACTTTTGATGATGGCAGAAGATGACTGTCGCCCTAAGATGAGCTCAGCGCTCTGAGTCATCTTCATGGCCTCAAACATCATGGCCATCCATGGAAATCACTGAGGATGAAACTCTCAGTTTAGGAGGCTGGTTAGACCATATGGGAACAGCATGAATGTTTTAGAAAAGTTTAAAGCCCAGAATTTAAAACAGATGGCATAGAGATTACTGAAAATCAAAGAGGAATAAGATTTTCTGTGCAAGAAAGTGATTTTACTTATGATTTTGTGCACCAACTGGCTGGCTAAAAAGAATTTATTAATTTATGTTTTGTATGTGGAAATATAGTAGCAAAAATATATAATCAAAACAAATGTTTTGCTATAATCATAATCTGTAATAGGTAGATTGATTTTGCTTTTTTATTACATATGCTTTAAAATACACGAAAAGTGTTTTATATTAAATACATTTGTGTTAAAGTTGTTCAATGTATACATTAGATGTGTGCTTTAGAATACTTAAAATACAAAGAAATACTTCAATGAACCATTGGTCTAATGCCTTTGTTTTGGAAATATCTTATCTTTTTCTCTTTAAGATTCCAATCCCCCCCAACATAGGCTCCTATCTATTTGAACAGAATAGGGGCCATTCAGAATGAATTCCTACAGCTTTTTATTTCTACAAGTCATATTTCTTTGTGCCTACCTTCTTGTTTTACTTTTCATTCAAGAGCAAAAGAAGAATTCCTTCCCTCTCTTGCAAGGCCACTTGATACTAAACACAAAAACACTTATGTATAATACATCTTTACAACCTTCAGGTTGACCCTGTTCAGGATTTATACAGCCCGCCTATGCTAAGATAGAGTTTCATCCCTTCCGGAAGTGACTGGACAGGCATCTGAATGTGGTTTATGTTTGTCTGTTCCTGTCTGACTCTTCATGTTAGGCCTGTGTCTGTTCTGTAGGTCTGCGTCCTTTCCGCAGGGCCTCCTACAAGACAACACCTGCCCCCTCTGCTGTGACTTTGATCATATTGTTCTCTGGATAACTGACCTCTTCTATCAGGGAACTCTCCTGGAACTTCACCCTGAGGAAAGTATTCTTTCCCCCTTCTTTCTCTGTGTCTCCTATGTCTCTCAGCGCCTTCAACGTTTTCCAAGTGGGAATCGGACTTTTGACTGTTGTCTTTGCTATTGGTTTGTATAGCGTCGCTCCTAAATCCTGGTCTGCTTGGCAGCGTGCTGCGCTAGCTGGCTTTTGTCTCTCTTACACGGCCCTTTGGTACTTCCTCATTTTCTATCTTGACACTGTAAATGCCCTGTGTCTGTTTAGGGCCCTGTCTTTTTTGTCACCTGGGCAAAACTCTTCCCCCAAATTACAGGCTCTTTTAAGCCACCTTCACCACCCCACACCACCACCATTACCACCCCCACCACCCCCGCATCTTGCCTGTTCTGTCAGTCAACTGTAAGGTGTTGTTTTTGCTGTTTCCCAGAACACCACAGGCAGCCCCCTCTAGCCTGTTGTTCAGATCGCTGTTTTACTGATTGGAGTCTCTATTCCTGGCATCTTCCCAATGGTGACACTTTTGGTTGCCATCAGTCAAGGGAAAACAGCTGGTCAGATTTCTGTCACTTAATTATTCCCTGGTGGGTTCAGAACTCCCGTCCAGTGGATCTCTTAATTCATCTTTTCTGTCACCTTATCATTTCTCTGTGAATGTGCACCAAAGGTTCCCCACTTGCTCAGCAGGACCTCTGGCGCTGGACCTCTGGCTCTGGCACTGGACAAAACCGGAGGACAGAGTAAGGGGAGTTCTTACCATCCAGCAGTTCTTACCCAAAGAAGAACTAAACCCTATTGGGCCTAACTGGGTGCTATACCCTGAACTCCAGCTGGTCCAGCCTCCTGTGACATCTACCCTCGCCCCTGAATCTCCGACTTGCACCCCAGTGAATACCTCTGGCACCATGGCTATTGCATCTCAGGAGGAGCCCCTGGGGCTTCCCCATAGACCCATCTTTGATATGCTGGATGCAGTATATCAGACTATGAACAGAACCAACTCCAATGCTACCAGGATTGTTGGCTATGCCTAAATCCAGCTCCCCCTTATTATATAGGTATTGCAGCCAACCGCACTTCTGGAAGAGCCCCTACCCAAGTTCAGAGTATTACTTATGCACAACAAAGAGTTCTATGTAAATGGGTAAGTGAGCCTAAACTTACACTTGGAGACTTGCAAGGAACAGGGTTTTGCATTCAGTCCTCCTTTAAACTATAGGACTCCCTCTATAAACAATCTTGTTCCTGTACCATGATTCTCTCCAACCCAAAGGGCAAGTACATCCTAAAAGCCCCAGATGGGACTTGGTTTGCTTGCACAACTGGAATAACCCTATGCATAAATCCAGTAACTTTAGCAAAGGCCCCAGACATAGGCCTTTGTCTGTTCTTGTTCGTATTATTCCACAAGTGTTTTATTACTCAGGGGAAGGAGGCCGTGAACATTTAGGCCTCAATTCAGATAGCCTACCTTCTAGAACAAAACAGGCCCCCAATCTAGTCCTGATTATGGTCAGGATAGGCATGGCTGGAACAGCAGCAGTTGGGACATTTGCTCTGATAAAAGGGGAAGAGGATTTTAAAGTTTTAAGCAGTCAAGTCAACTTAGGTTTGAAAGAATTAGAAAGTTCAGTGTCCAATTAGAAACCTCCTTAGATTCCTTAGCAGAAGTAGTGCTATAGAACCACAGGGGACTTGACCTGCTTTTCTTAAAACAAAGAGGATTATGTATAGCATTGGGGGAAACATGTTGCTTCTACACTAACAATTCTGGTGTCCTCAGGAATACTTTGGCCTTAGCGAGAAAGAGGATCCAGGAGAGGGAGAGAAGCCAGAAGCCAGTTGGGGAATTGGTTTGAAAATTTATTCAATTGGTCCTCTTGGCTGACAACTTTCCTAACAGGAAAGTTTCTTGCAGGACCCCTCATCCTACTCCTTTTAGGACTAACAATAGGACCATATGCTATTAATGCTCTCATTTCCTGTATCCAGAAGCAAGTACAGGCAGTGAAATTCATGGTCCTAAGAACACGTTATCAACACATATGTCAGGATGAAGAAGAAGTAGAGGTTTGATCAAAGATTTGAAGTTCCCCAAAGACCATGAGTAGGGAATGAGATGGTGGCCAGGTGGGCCCATTGTTCCATCTCCCTCTCTCCCCCTTCCCGCAAGAAAACAAAGAGGGGAAGAGTGAGCCCTTGGGAATAGGCCGTGGGAACACTCACAGGATAAGGCCTTCTTGACTCTTTGGGAACACATGCAGACAGGATAAGGTCATGCAGACCCCAGTGATGTTAAAAATATTTTTGCTTAACTGTTATTTTGCTTAACCAAGTAACCAAAAATGCCATAAACCTGCTTTTGTATGTGCTGGTTGTGACATCCAGCGGCTTGCATCCACTCAACATATAAAAACCGTGCCTTAACTCTGTTCATGGCTGCTCAGCCCTGAACTGTCTCTCTCTGAGACTGGCATAGACAGCTGCTGGCCAGCTGAAATAAAGACTCCATTTGGACACTTTTTTTTTTTTAAACTTAAGATTCTTTTTCTTTCTTTTCTTTTCTTTTCTTTTTTTTTTTTATTAAATCATAGCTGTGTACATTAATGCAATCATAGGGTACAATGTGCTGGTTTTGTATACAATTTGAAATATTTTCATCAAACTGGTTAACATAGCCTTCACAGCATTTTCTTAGTTATTGTGTTTAGACATTTATATTTTACACCTAGTAAATTTCACATGTACACTTGTAAGAAATAAATTGTGGTATATGTACACCATGGAATACTATGCAGCCTTAAAGAAAGATGGAGACTTTACCTCTTACATGTTTACGTGGATGAAGCTTGAACATACTCTTCTTAGCAAAGTATCTCAAGAATGGAAGAAAAAGTATCCAATGTACTTAGTCCTATGGTGCATTTGGACACTGAATTTGGCTGTGTGGTCATTTTCCTCACTCCATAACAGTAAACGAGTCATTGGCTTTCCGAGTTGTTTCTCTTGATTTTCAATATAATTGTATTATTACATTCAAGTTGTGAAATTTAGAAAAAATACGGCTAAGGGGGAATTCAAGCTTATGTTAAATGAAAAGACCAAAAGAGAAGACCTGGCTTTACTTTTTGAAATGTTTATTATGAAACAGTTGAAACATATGCAGAAAAGTAGAAAGACATGTACAACAAATA